TGACCTCGTTTCTGAGTACCAACAGTACCAAGATGCCACCGCAGAAGAGGAGGAAGACTTCGGTGAGGAGGCTGAAGAGGAGGCTTAAGGCAGAGTGTCCTATCACCTCGGGCTTCTCAGCTCCCTCAGCCTTCTTCCTCAATTTCCCCTTTCCTCTCCCTCAGAATTTGCATTTCTGCCTCTATCTTTTTTTTTTTTTCTCCTTGAGGGAGTTCTAGAACAGTGCCTGGCACATAGTAGGCGCTCAATAAATAATTGTTGTTTGTTGAATGTCTCTTCTCTTTTTCCACTCTTGAGAAATCTATAGATTTCTGCCATTCTGGGTAATCCTGTATTTCCTTCTGGCACCCATTGCTTCCATCTGTCCAGTTAATACTTCTGTTTTCAAGGTGTGTGTGACTCTAGGAAGCTGGGTCTCATCCAGATTCCATTTAGAACATGTGCTCTACACCCAAGTGGCCACCGTCCTCAGTTCAAGGGACAAACCCATGGTAGGCAAAGGAAAAAGCAGCCAAGCTAATTTACAGCAGGCACAAGTCACTGGAAAGGAAGAGCTTGGGTTTTTGGTTCTAGGTTACTTCAACCTTCATTGGTTTGTTCTCACAGGGGAGGTGTTAAACAGTATTATTTTCCATTTCCTTCCAAGCTGTTCTGAGCTCCCAGTTTGACTTTGGAGTAGTTTGCCCCACTAGGTCTTTACTTCCCTCCCACATCATAATAGCAGCTCTGGCGTGGCCCAGTGTGCACTGCCACTTACAGGTCCGCATTGATTCCCCAGAGTGAACAGGACTTGCTTCATGTAATAACTCATTTCTTCCATTTGCTATTCCCTTTTAAAAACTTATACTTTCCCCCTCTTCTACACTTCAAATTTCTATTTGTGTTAAACTTGCTTTTTTTCATATTGAAAAGATGACATTGCCCCAGGAGCCAAAAATAAACAGGAATTACAAATAAAACTTTGCAAGCTGCGTGCTCATTCAGGGAAAAACTGGGCAGATGGGACCAGGGTTCACTTTGTACATTCTGGTCTAAGGCTGGTGGGAGCCTCACAATCCTTATATGGACCACATCCCACCCCAAGTCCCTATCTATATGAGACAGGCTCAGACTGTGGAGTCCAGAGATGGGAAATTGGAGTTGATGCAAAAGAGTATATAGTAGAGTGTTTTTCAAAATAGTACTTTTCAAGGTGCTTTCCAGACCTGCAAATTCCAATTTATCAATGGCATCCTATCAGTTCAACTCCTAGCACTCTTGCCAGTGTTCTAGGCAACAAATCTTTATGGGACTAGCTGCTCCCTTTCCCATGGTGGATTTGAGCCACTGACCTCTTAGTTTGTTAGTGTGTTACATGTTATGCCATTAGCTTACTGGAAACTTAAATTCTCAGACCCACTCAAATGGAATCAAGATTTGGTGTTAGAGTCTGGCAGGTATGCCAGGAGATTATGCTTAATGCTCAGTTTTGAAAAACCCTGCGTTGCACCTTCTCAACTTGCAGACTGTTGAAAGCTTCATTTGGGTTGAGACTATTTTGAGACAAAGATGATGAATGGTCTCTCAAAATCACTTCCTTGAGTAAGTGATGCAGATAGTTAGCATGTTCAGCTGGTAATGAAACAGCTTGAATCCACCTAGCTGTGTCAGAAGAACTGACCCTAGAAAACCTGGAGCAAAGTTCTTTGACATGGGATCATCAAATGTCAGCATTTATTCAAGGACTTGTTTTTATGGTCTAATACTCAGTGCTTCTAAGGGCACAAACCCCAAGTCTTGAAGCTGAACAGTTCATTTCTACTGGCTAAATTAGAAGGAATAACAGAGTTCTTAGTTTCTACTTCAGCCTGCCTTCTGACTAGTTTTGGAAGGAAAGAAAAAATATCAATTTGTAACAATATAGTAACTTCTCCCACCTTAGGAAGCCCATTAAAATGCCAGGGAGTGGACTACGTTGTAGCATTCCTTTTGGTTCTGCTTTATTTGTTCATAAGTATCAGGAAGTAGTAACAGTTTATTTGGCATGTACAGTTGAGGACCTCCAGACCACCCCTTAGCCTTGATAAGGAAAGAACTGCAGACCACCAGCTCAAAGGTGAATAAATTGGGGGTGAGATGAGCAGGCTGGCACGGGGCCCCTGGGGGGCAGTCTTGGCAGTGTAGGGTTGATAGGGGGAGCTCTCCCTTCTCCAAGGCAAGGCACAGGTGATTTGGCTAGGAGGGACGAGGGATGGGTGTCCCGCTGTCAAACAGCATGCTTAGGATATCTGGGCTGCATGCAGTATAAGGACCCTTCAGGCAACTTGGAACAATGAGTGTGGACATCTGTGAGGGATTGGGGGGAACTCCTCAGGCTGTTCGCAAAGGCTTGTTGTGGTTCACCTGGCAAAAAGACAAGAGTGAATGACGATTGGAGCCTGGCAACCAGGCCCCCATGTAGATGAACAGAGACCTTCAGAAACCCTGCAGTTCTTCCCAGCACCTCTCTTTTTCTCAAAGGCATTAGGATGCATAACAAAACAGCAAATCAAGGGGCCCAGAGATTTACTCTGACAACTCTCCCTGATTCCCATCTTCCAGTGTGGACCTCAAGGAAAATTACTTTTGAAAGTCACTGGCCCAACCTACTGTTTATAGCTGCGCTGCAAAGGCATGCATTTAGAATCCACCAGAAACTCCATGGGAGAAGGATGGCTAATTTCCTCCAGGCCCACTGGAGGGGTCAGCTAAACACGTACGTGTGTGTGTGTGTGTGTGTGTGTGTGTTTCTCCTCATTTTAACACACTTGTCTCACCCTGACTATATGCTACGCATCATTTTCAAATATTTACTTATTTAATTCCCTCACAACAGAATAGTTGACTGTCATGAACTCAATTTTAAGATGAGAAAACTGAGGCATATAGAAGTTGAATAACTTGTCCATAAACCACACAGCAGGCACACACTGGTTCCAGAGCTTGTCCTCTGAGCTCTTCCATTTAGGTCCAGGTGAATTACAGTGAGGTATTGAGCAGTGACGTGCTTTGGGAGTAATTAACTATTAACAGGGCTGCAATTAGTTCTCTGTGCAAGCAGTGTGACTCTGAGTACAGGCTCCAGGGACAGTTACCTTGGGTTTTAAGCCCAGCATCATCAGCTGTACAACACAGGGTAAGTGACTTTAGATTTAGCATTCTGTGAACCACAGAGGCGTGGTGTCTGGCAAACAGGAAGTATTGTGGTGGACCCACTATATTTATAGGACACAGAAACCAGGAATCTCCCCTCCCAAGGTTCCCATCCTGGACAAGCCCTTTACCTGTGAGATGCTGATGCCTGTGAGTCTTTCCACGCTCTCTGGCAGGCGGCTCAGGATGTCCAGTACTTCCCCAGTCACTTTGGCTGCCCCCACAGACCCACTTCCACTGGACACCAGTGTGATCTTATTGGCTGAAGTCAAGGGGCCGCTGATCTCCTCAGCAACCTGGTAGATTCAGAAAAGCTGGTTCAGTGACCAGGAGCTGACTGGGTCTTTCCTAACACTCCTTACCCTTGGCTGAAAACTTCAGTTTTACTGAAAGATAAGCCCTCTGGTACTGCAGTGGTTACGTGCTTGGCTACTCATAGAAAGGTGGGAGGTTTGAACCCACTAGCCTCTCTTTGGAAAATGATGTGACAGTCAGCTTCAGTAAATATTCCAGTCTTGGAAATCTTAAGGGGTTGGTAAGAGATTGAAACTGAATGGCCTTGGTTTTGTCTTACTAGTAAGGCCTTTAGGTGGCACATCCAGTTTTGGTTTGCAAATCTGAAGGCTGGCAGTTCAAATACACTGAGCAATGCTGTGGAAGAAAGGCTCGGTAATCTGCCTCTATAAATATTATAATCAAGAAAACCCTATGGAGCAGTTCTACTTGGTAACACATGCCGTTGTCATGAGTTAGAACTGATTCAGTTACAATGGATTTGCTCTTCACTTGGTCACAGGCTTATAATATTAACATTTTGTCCCTCTGCAATTTAGGGTCCCTTAGCCTAGTTTCCCCCAAGCCTCCCCCAGCCTTACTGCACCCCTCAATTCCTGACACTGGTCCCTATCCTCCTGGTGCCCACAGAACTGCACCTGAGGAAGCTTCTCTAACAGCATGTCCAGCTGAGCCGCGTCCTGGTACAGCTGGAAGGCTTCTGCCTTCTTGGCCATCTGCTCAGCCTCTGCCCGTGCTCGGGCCTCCACAGCAAAGGCTTCTGCTTCCCCACGCATCTGCAGAAGGCGCAGAATACTTGCAATAACTGGCATTGTGGGAAGTTAAGGACAAGAGACTCTTGCTCAAGCTGAAACCCCCACTTCCCTTCGTCAGCCAGCAAATCATCTCTCAACTCACCCTCACAGACTCAGCCTCCGCTTCAGCCTGCATGATCAGCTGCAACCTGAAGAAGGGAATTGAAGGCAGGCAACTGAGAAGGGGTCCTTACTCCCAGCGAGAGAGCTAAGACTGAGGGGAGGAGGGGTTCTTGCAACCTGAAATCTACAGGTATCCAGGTTGTGAAGGTGCCAGCTCTTCACCTAGATGGAAAAGGAGCCAGGACCGGGACAGGAATGGGGTGTTTACTTCTCTGCCTCCGCTAGGCGTTCCATCCGGTAGCGCTCAGCTTCTGCAGGCTTCCTGACTCGAGCTTCCAGCTCCTTCTCTCGCCGGGCGATTTCCTGCTCCTGCACTGCCACCTGCTGGGCCCGCTCCACCACCTGCACCTGGACACGCTGCTCCTCAATCTGCTGCTTGGTCTTGGCCACCTTGGGGGGGGGGTGGAGAATGTGAGAGTGGCAGTCAGAGGTAGCTTTAAGAAACAAGTGTCTAAGAAGCAAATAGAGAAGACCAGGCTTGAATAAAACCTGGAGCAGGGCAGGCCAGTGAATCCTTTTTGGGGAAGGAATGAAGGCACGGTTGGGGGTGGCTTGATGACTCTCCTTTCAAATCCAATATTAAAGAGTTAGGACTGTTTACTCAGGCAGCGTCTGCATTGGAGCTGAACAAGTTGGAAGCTAGTCTCTGTTCTCCCCAGGTTGGGCCAAGAGTTCCTCTCCTGAGCATCTTATCACCATAAAACCTGTTGCTGTAGTTGAGGCAATTCCAAGTCACAGTGATGTTAAAAGACAGAACAGAGCTGCCCATTGTGTCCAAGGCTGTAAATCTTTACAGAGGCAGATGGTTACATCCTTCTTTTAAAATTTTTTTAAAGAAGGTGCAGCAATGAATGAATGAAAATCCAAAATCTCTGTAAATGCTCATTAAAATTATTAAAAATGAAAAAAATAGCAACAAAATGAAACAATTAATTAAAACATTTGGATTAAAAAAAATAAGAGGGACGTGAGCTCTGGGGCCTAGAGGCAAAAAGCTGCACTGCAATCCCGGAGGTAAGCGGTTCAAATCCACTAGATGTTCTGCTGAAGAAGGAGGGACAATCTCCTCCTGTACCTGTCAGATCTGATTTGATGGCACACACACGCACAAATAATAAATTAGAAAAATTTTTAAAAAAAGGATTCTTTTTAAGTTTTTTTTCCTTGTTGTATATGGTCAAATCAGATCAGACAGGCACAGGAGACTGCTCCTCCTTTTCCAGTGGAAAATCTGGTGGATTCAAACCACACACCTTTGGGATTTCAACACAGGTTCTTGCCATGAGGCCACCAGAACTCCCTGGTCACATCTTTCTTCTTAAGATGAGGTGGTGGGTCGGGCTTTGAACTAGTTCATTCTGGTTTAACTCTCTGCTAAGAATTTTGCCTTTCTACCTCAGATATATGGAATGTGAATGTACAGTTTGACAAGATCCCCATGGAAGCTCTGTGGTCTTCCCTTCATCCTGGGAATATCCCTTCACTTCTTGAGATGGATCATCCATTTCTGTGACCTCATTCTCCCTGCCACCCCATTTCCTCCTCTTTGTTTAGGTACATCTTTTGGTGAAGCTCCACTTCCTCAGAAAGTGTCCTTTTGCTGGAGGCTCTGCTTCTTTGAGATCTTTATCCTTCTAGTAGAAGTGTCAGTGAGGACAGGAACAGGGTGCTATAGAAGAATTCAGTTTCTACTAGAATTTTGAGGGCCCTGCTCCATTGTCTCCTACTTGCTTGAGGAATCTGAAATCATTCTGATGCATAGTCCTGTGGTTGACGGGTTTTTGTTTTTTGTTTGTTTTTTTTTTTTTTTTGTCTCTGGAAGCTTACTGTTATTTCTTTGTCCTCTGTGTCCTGAAATTTCACAATGATGTTTTTAATGTAAATCTATGTTTACTGTGCACCTGAATAGGATTGTTTACCTTTCAAAACTGGCATCTGTCACAACGGCTATGCTCCCCCACGCCATGTCAGACAGCTAATATGCTGACGTTGTAACAAGATTTGAGGCACATGTCATACAAAAGCATGAACATCCAATCATCATGCTTATGAACTGAAAAAGGACCAGCTACGCTTTTTTTTTTTTATTTTGTGTGCGTGTACCATCAAATCAGATCTGACTGGTACAGGAGGATATTGCGCCTCCTTCTCCGGCAGAGCATCTGGTGGATTCGAACTGTGTTTCTCTGGGATTGCAGTGCAGCTTCTTGCCACTAGGTCACCAGAGCTCCCCCCAGCTACGCTTTTTGAATTCTACCTTTTTTCTGTGTGATACCCTGAACTGGACTCTAATAGTGTTATCTTTCCTTTCTGATTTTTTTCCACCTCTTTTGCTTTATTTCTTAGGATATGTATTAGAAATTTTTTTCCAATGTGTTCCCCTCCCCCTCCCCCACTAATTTCTTGTGTTTTTTTTTCTTTGCCTTGCCGCCATCTGGTTAATTTTTTTTTAAATTGTATTTATTTTTTTTTTTCTGGTTAATTTCTAAAAGCGCTTTTCATTTTGTTGTCTGTCCTATGTCCTAATTTCCTGGATTGGAACTCTTCTCTTGTTTCACTGAAGTTATATACGCATACTTCACTTTTCTTCTGCTTGCATTAACACACCCTCCCCATTGCTTAGCTCTGCTCTTTTGACTTAGCCCTTCATGCTAGAAGAATTCCTCATACAGCTGGTAGTCCTTGCTTGTCTACTCTATCAGCCCACTGCCACTGAGCTGATCCCAACTCAAGGATGGAACAGACGAAAACTGCTCCCTAGGTTTTCTTGGTTGGAACCTTTGTGGAAACAGTTCCCTAGGCCTTTCTGGGAAGTCTGGGTGGGTTAATATGGTCAGCTAGCTGGGTTAGCAAGGAGCTGATCACAAACTGTTCCATCTAGGCTTCTCTGCTCGTGATTCTCGTTAGGTGCCATGGAGTTGACAACTCATAGCAACCCTGTGAACGTAGATGTGAACCCTGCCTTACCTTTTGTCATCCTCATCATCTCTGACGTACTTGAGCCTGCTGCTGCAGTCACTGTGTCAACCCCTCTTTTTTTCACCTACATTGTTTTATTTATGTACACTGTATTAGTCTTTAATTTGCACTGTTTCATGCAATCATTCATACACATTGCATTTTATTTACTACTGATCTATGCCTGTTTATCTATCTGCTATCCTAGTGATTAACCCCTCTTTTTGAGGGTCTTCCTTTTTTATGCTGACTCTCTACTTTCTCAAGCACAATGTGTCTTTCCAAGTTCTGGCTTCTGCTAGTAACATCTCCAAATTATGTGAGATGAAGTTTCATCATCCTTTCCTTTAAGGAGCATCACCATAGTTTCACTTTCTCCAAGACATATTTGTGTGTTCTTTTGGCAGTTTATGTATTGTTAGAAGACACAAAAACACTGAGATGAACTTCTGAGTATGTTGTAATTGTTGAGTGCCACAACCCAATGAATGAAAGACCTGAACACTTGTATAACTTTCATTGTATCTCCAGGTTCATAGTTTCTGGAGGCAAGCTATTTTGGAGTGGATGCCACTCCTGCTTCCAAGCTTGTTTTAACTGGGGAGCTCCACCAAACACTGTCCACCATGAGTAACCATTATCACATTTAACACATCAGTGCCACAGTGTTTAGCATCACGGCAACCACAAGTTACCTCTGTACAGCAATGCACAGACCAGTGCTATACCACTTAGAGGAATGTCTGACAAAGACCAAGTACGTAAAGTTGGTCTTAGTGATTTTAAATTTCACTCTAGGATGATCTCCTGTTTGTGTACCATCGAGTCAGAACTGATCTATAGCTGAACCTCCAGTGGGTTTTCAGAGGCAGCTAATCGCATGGCAGGAGACTACCCATCCTTTTTCTGCAGAGCAGCAGGTGGATTCGAATCATGTGCCTTTGGGATTAGAGGGCAGTTTCTTACCACTAGGTCACCAGAGCTCCCTGATCTCCTGTTTGAAGGACAGCGATTCTAGGAACCAAGCAGGAAGATGGAGCTGAGAAAGCATTTAGCATTCATTAGGAACAACCACTTCAGGCTCCACCAAGTAACCCACTGCCCTGCAGTAGGTTCTGACTTGTAGTAGGAGACATTCCATCAAACCACCACTTTTAAGTCAACAGCCAAGCAATGTACTAAGCCACCAGGGCTCTTTACTTCACATCCCGGTTATTGGTAAAATAATAGTGTTTCTACCTATGCCTGGCCTATGCCTTCCACCTATGTTAGCTCACTGCTTCTGATTTACTTCCTTCAGATAATAAGCCTTTGGATGTCTGCTATCACTAGGGAATGACCATTATTACTTAGAGGTAGGGAGTTGGACAAGGGATCTAACTGAGAAGTCATTTTTCACCAGTTCCTTCCAGTCTGTAAGAGATAAGCTGGATTTGGTGTCCAATCTCTTAGGGGGAATTGAGACAAGCTGGGTTCTTCTTTAGAGCTTAAAACATAAAGTGCAGATGTTTTGCAGAAACTGCTATCTATCTGCCTGCATTCTGAGCCTGACAGGTTCAGATGAATTCTTAAAAACAAACTCAAAACCCCAAACGTTGTGCTTTTCTGAGTTTTCAAACTGCCCAACCAGTAATATTATCCCCCTCTGAGGAAGTTTCTCCAGCATCCACACTGTTGTTGTTATGTGCTGTCGAGTCGCCTGTGACTCATAGTGACCCTATGTACAATAGGCTGAAACTCTGCCCTATCCTGAGCCAATCTCACTATCTCTTGACACACCTACCCTGATTACCCCAGTCACTGAATCAATTCATCTCATCGAGGTCTTCCTCTCCTGCACTCCCAAGCATGGCGTCCCTCTCCAAGGACTGGTCCCTCCCTGCAACATGTTCAAAGTATGTCAGATGAAGCTTCAGAATTCTTGCCTCTAAGGAGCAGCCTGGCTTCTCCCTCTCAAGGACATACATGGTTTTTTTTTAGAACTAATCAACTATTTTCTTTCTCAGGCATTTTTTTTTAAGGACAAACGTTTGTTTTCTTAGCAGTCCATGGTAAATTCAATGCTCTTCTCCAACACCACAGCTCAAAGGCATCAATTCTCCTTCTATCATTCCCAGTCATTGTCCAGCTCTCTAATGTATAGCAAGTGATTGCAAAGACCATGACATCTACACTAGACTTTAGAATTTTAAAAGAACTAGCCTCATTTAATGAGTTTTAGGTGGCACAGTCTGTAGTGTTACCAACAGGCCGAGAGTCTAGAGCAGCTCAAATCCATCAGAGGGTTCTCAAGAGATGGATCGGCAGTCTGGTCCCCTTACGATTTTTTATTAAATTTTTATCATTTTAATGAACATTTACAGAGATTCCCTTAAAATTTGAGGGCACTTATCACTGATATCACATGCAAGCAAGATTCTGCTGAAGATTATCCAAAAAAGACTGGAACAGCACATCAACAGAGAACTGCCTGAAGTGCAGGCCGTGGCACTAGGGATATTATAGCTAATGTCAGATGGATCTCAGCTGAAAGCAGAGAGTACCAGAAGAATTTCTATCTGTGTTTCACTGACTATGCAAAGGCATTTGACTGTAGATCCAACAAACTGTGGCTGACTCTGAGAAGAATGGGAATCCCAGAACACTTGATTGTGCTTATGCGAAACCTATACTTGCACCAAGAGGCAGTCATTAGAACTGATCAAGGAAACAATGCATGGTTCAAAATTGGGGTATGTGCCAAGGATGTGTCCTATCTCCATATCTTTTCAATCTAAATGCAGAACAGATTATCCAGGAGGCTAGGCTGTATGAGGAGAAATGTGGCATCAGGTTTGGAGGTAGACTCATCAACAATCTGTGTTATGCAGATGACACAACCCTGCTTGCTGAAACTGAGTAGGACCTGAAGAACTTGCTGCAGGTCAAGGACTGCAGCATTCAATATGGATTGAAGTTAAACATAAAGAAAACAAAGATTCTCACCATTGGGCTCATTGGCAGCCTCTTGTAGACAGTAAGGAGATTGAGAATGTTGACAGCTTCAGTTTGCTTGGCTCTACAACCAACACTCTTTGTACCAGCAGCCAGGAAATGAAAAGGCAGATTGCACTGGTAAAGTCTGCTGTCAGAGACCTCTCCAAAGTACTGAAGAGCAATGATGTCACTCTGGAGACTAAGGTGTGCCTGATACAGGCCATGGTCTTTGTAATTACTTGCTATGCATCAGAAAGCTGGACAATGACTAGGGATGACAGAAGGAGAGTTGATGTTTTTGAGCTGTGGTGTTGGAGAAGAGTAATGAATATACCATGGACTGCTAGGAAAATAAACAAGTTTGTCCTGGAGAGGGTTGCTCATTGGAGACAAGGATTCTGAAGCTTTGTATGACATACTTTGGACAAGCTGCAAGACAGGATCAGTCCTTGGAGAGGGATGTCATGCTTTGGGAGGGTGGAGGGCCAGTACAAGACAGGAAGACCCTTGATGAGATGGATTGATTCAGTGATAGGGGAATAGGAGTAGGTGTGTCAGAGACAGTAAGATTGGCATAGAATAGAGCACGGTTTAGGGCTGTTGTACATGGGTCACTATGTATCATAGGCGACTCGACAGCCATAACAACAACAACAAGAGCCTTCAGTATTGATTACATTTCAATATCAGGAAAACAAAAACCCTCATCACTTGGACAGCAAGCAACATCATGATAGATTTAAATAAAAGACTGAATTTCTTAATAATTTCATCTTACATGGATTCACAGTTAACAGTGTTGGTACCAGAAGTCAAGAAATCAAAGGATGCATTTGGAAAATTTGCTGTCAGGGACCCATCCAAAGTGCTAAAGGGCAATGATGTCAGTTTAAAGACTATGGTGTGCCTGATCTAATGAATAATTTTTTTCAATTACTTGCTATGTATCTGAAAGTTGGACAATAACTAAGGATGGCAGAAGAATTATTGATGCCATTGAGTTAGTGTTGTTGGGCAGAATTTAGATCCATTGTTCATAGGGTAACTAGAAGTCACAGTTGACTTCAAGGCAAGTGATACCAATAAAAGTCAACTAGATGCCAATGAGTTTAGAGTGATAGCCTCAGAACCATAGGACTCTTAAACCTGGGAACATTTAAGTAACCTAACAATCACCCCATCCCTGGCTGGCACCTCTAGTTAGGGAAAAATGTTCTCTTGACTCCTTGATTATCTCATATTAATATATAAAACCTTTCTGAAGTTCTAAACTTGTTTCTACTAGGAACTTAGGTATCAAATAAGGCCTTACATACCAGTTATTATTTCATATCAAAGACAACTTTTTTTTTTAATGCAGGGAATAGGAAGGAACAACTGTAACTGATTTTTTTCTATATTATATATACTGGTAAGTTTGCTCTGACTGCAAGCATTCCTGTTTCCCCTCTTTCCACGATATAAATTTAAATAAAAATTTTCTTTCTTTTTTACTGTATAAAGTATTGTCCCCCTAAGACAGTTAAGTTCAGAGACCAGCCACCAGTTTCTTATCAAAAGGCCCAGGCATGTCCTGCAAAGGAGCCGCAGAATTCAGCTAATATAGACTGCCTCATGTGTTCCTTCCTCACCACACTGAACTTAACTCCAATTTCTGTTTGGCTCGGTGGGTAAGGAGTTGTGCTGCCAACCCAAAGACAGGTGGTTTGAATCTACCAGATACTCTTGGGTAGAAAGATGACAATCTCTTCTCATGGTGATTTACAGCCTCTGAAAACTTGCTACAGGTTTGGCTGTGAGTTACCACTTGACAGTGAAGAGTTTTGAGGCAAGAACTTTCAGATGCCATTCATGTGCAGGAGCAAAAAAGAGTGGTTACTATTGAACATTCTAGAGAAAGCAGCCACAAAGTAAAAACAACATACAGTGCATGTCCAGGAAGCACATTTTTTTGGGGGTGGGCAGGGAGAACCAAGTATGTATACTACTAAATGAGGGATTAGTTAATTTTGTAATTCTGCCAGGTTTAAATGGAAAAGGTTCAGAGGCACAAAACAGGAACCTCCTAACCAGCAAGAAAGCAGCTGAGAGTACAGTGCATATCTATTTGGACCAGAGATTGCTGCATGAGTCAGACCAGGACCCAGACCAGAGTGGCAGTAGCAGGAGAGCTGGTAAGGAACCAGGTCACATGAGAAAGTTGGACAGGAAGTACCGGCCTACAGAGCCAGAGTGGCGGGCCTCCATCCAACGTTATTATAGAGGTCTTGGTGGGTAGAACAAATCAAAAATTAGCAGAAGAGCTGTGTAACATTGACCTAGAGCAGCAAGACCTGTGAGCAGACCTGAGAAACTGCCCTGATTGAAGAACTGTAGCCTGTCTCCAAATTGAATTGTAATCTGGTAACATTTCTAATAAACCCCACTTTCTATGTCAGCTCTTTGGGAAAAGTCCCAAGTATAGTGTGAGCATTCTGTGTAGTAACTGCAATGGAGTAGCTGACCCAGCAGTTGAGTATTATTACTAGCCCCCTGGGACAGATAGCAATTGTTAGAATTGGTAGACATAGGTATAGGGAGTGTGGAGGCATATGTGATATCATAAGAATTGGTTTTGTACTGTTGTTATTGTTGAAGGGGACTAAATGCCCTTGTGGGTTTAGTGGAGGCCAGATGCCACCATCCAATGCCAGTTTCATGTTTTGTTGTTTTTACAATATTAACTTCCTCATCTTCTTGTCTGGCATTTAGTAGGTATTTATTTGCTGAATGAATTCCTAGTTCTTGAGCAGCTAGCACAGAGAAACAGAGAAAAGCTGAAAAGTGCCCAAAGCAGCTGGACCCTTGATCTGGCAGACAAGGAAAGCCATGCTCAGTAAGGATTTTATCCACAGTCTCAGAGAAAGCTAAGCTTCTCAAAACTCCACCACGTATATGAATCACCTAGGGATTTTGCAAAAATGCTGACTGATTCAATAGCTTGGGCTGTGGCCCAAGTCTTAGTATTTCCAACAAGCTCCCCAGTGTTGTCAGGAAAACGACTCTTGGGTGACAAGGCACTATATCATCCTCAACTCCCTATCAAGTCACCCAAGGATGCTGCAATAGAACATAAAAGCTGTTGTGTACCCAGTGCAACAATGAATGAATGAAAACCCAAAATCTCTGTTCATTAAAACTAATAAAATTTAATAAAATAAAAAAAAGCTGTTGTGTACCACATTATGCTTTCTCTCAATCTGTACCAACTCTTGACAAAACCAAGTTTCATATGACTACCCGATGGATAAGGAGTTCCTCAGTGGTGCAAATGGTTAAGCCCTCAATTCCTAACGAATTAAAAAATATCCAGAGGCAACAGTAGAAAGGCCTCGTGATCTGCTTCCCAAAGAACTTACTGGTGCAGTTCTCTGCCTGACACATAAAGGGCCAATGAGTCAGAATTAACAGCAACTGGGCTTCTTTGGTTTGTTTCTGATAAAAGGACTCCTGTCCCTTCTTTCAATGTCTGGGGCCGCTCATGCCTCACTATGCAGGATTCAATGTCCACAGTGATTTTAACCTTCTTTATAATCTCACTTGATCACCAGAGCTGATCTTTGTAAAAATTAGAAAGAGGCAGCTGTTACTCTGAGTGCTTCCAGACCACGTAAGCATGCGTGGCTTGGCGAGGGGAGCGTGCACTGGGTTTTCAGCTCTGCTTCACCCTCTCATAAAAGGAACTGGGAACAAGGCTCAACTTGCTCCAAATAAGTTGTGATCAGCCCCATTGATCTTATAAGAAATGTTAGTGGTGCAATGATTAAGCACTAAACCAAAAGGTCATCAGTTCAAGTTCATCAGCTACTCTGTGAGAAAAAAGAGGAGGCAATCTGCTTCCATAAAGATATACAGCCATGGAAAACCAAGCTCTGCGCTGTCCTATAGAGGTCACTAGGAGTTGGAATGAATCAAGGGCAGTGAGTTTGGTGTTGCAGAGGTTAAGAGCTCAGCTACTAATAGAACAGCTGGCAGACTGAAGCTATCAATTGTTCCATGAAAGAGATGTGGCAATCTACTTCTTTTAACGATTATAGCATGGCACACCTCCACAGTCATGTGGCCTTGATGGCCCACTAGAGCAATGTGGAAATCCCACTGGGCAGTTTGTACTTTGATCTAAAGAATCTCTTAGAGTAAGAACTGACTCAACGATGGGATCACTTTTCTAGTTATTAACTCTATCCCTTCTCAGCCTTTTACCCTTCAGCTGAAAGAGCCAGGCTATGGGAATCAGAGATACCATATTAGCAACAGGGGTCTGAGAAGGATGGGGAAAGGCAAGGCAAGTCTAACTCAGGGTCATCTATCTGCCCAGAGTGTTGGTTCTGACCTGAAGCTGATAGGCCAGATCAGCTTGTGCTCGGCGGGTGTTAACTTCGATGTCATAGGCAGCCTTCTTCAGCTCATAGTCCCTCTGTGCCTTGGCCATCTCAATCTCACTCAGGTACTGGGCAGACACCTTTTCCTGCTTGGCTTTGGCCTCCTGTGCAAGCAGAGATCAAGTAGGAAAAGTCAGAGCAGAAAGAGAAAGCCTTCCTACATAGCTGTGAGAGCCTGCTCCCTGCCAGGCTGTCCTGTTTGCCCCAACTCTGGCCCAGCTCCACTACCCCTTTCTCACTGTGCCACCTCCATACTGCTCTCCCACCAGTGCTCAATAAGCCCACGGTGATGACAATCTTATCTCTCTCACCCGGATCCCAGCATCTCTCTTGGCTTCAGCTTCCCCGATTCGAGCATCTTTTTGGACTTGAGCAGTTCGAGCCTTCCCCAATGAGTGCAGATAGTCCTGTAGGAGAGAAGCAGAAATCAAGAGTCCTTGGGACAGATGAAGACATGGGATTAGGGAGCTAGTAAGGATCAACTGCCATGGTTTACCTGGTCATCGTGAATGTCCTTCAGCGTGTAGCTGACCACACTGATGCCCATGTTGACCAGGTCTGATGAGGCCACTTTGAACACTTGCTCTGAGAATTTCTGCCTATCTTTATAGATCTCCTAGGATAACAGGATGATGGGAAGAGGTAAGTTAAGTTCTAGCCACTGTCTCTTAGAGATAAACCTATTTGATCCTTGGGACCCATTCATTCTGGTATCCCTTTCAGATTCTTTCCTGGACCCAGGCCTCAGCCCCCAGGCCCACCTCCACAGTCATGTGGGCCATGATGGCTCTCTGGTGGCCCTCCAGCGTCTCCAGTGCAATGTGCGCAATCTCAGCTTCTGTCTTCCCCAGGAACATTTGGCAGGCGGCCGCCAGCATCTCCTTGTTCTGCCCCTGAATTTTCACCTGTAGCCAGAGTGGGTAAAGAGGGACTGTGATAGAGGTCTTCAAACACCGAGGAGGGAAGCCCTTGAAGAAAAGCTCCTTCCATCTCTGGAGTGGAAGGGAGGAGGGTTTACAAGGCTGAGCAGAAGCCTCTCAATGTCTGGGAGAGAAAAGGTGATGGGGGAATGGGCTCAGGAGAAAGGCTCTGAAAGCCTCACCTGGGCAATGCCAGTGACTGAGATGGGGACCCCATGGCGAGTATAAACCTTTTCACTCTTGACATTGAGGGTCAGTGTGTTGAGAGAGATCCTAGGGGAAAAAGAAGGTACAGTGAGAGAGGAAGACAGAAAGGCAATGGAGGTTCCCCTTTCCTTCTTCCCTCCCTCCCTACCTCTGGATTTTCTGGATGCAAGGCAGGACAAAGACTCGTCCTCCGGCCACCATGACAGGTGGGCTTCGGCAGAAACCTGCAAGGTGAGAAGAAATGGGTAGCAGGAGCCTTGGGATAGCTGTGATGTGGAAGATACTAAGGAATTGGGGATAGGAATAATCAACGGGGAGGGGGGAGGTGTTGACCTGAGAATGGACACTCTCATTGCTGTTGAGTCGGCAATAAAAACTGACTCATTGCTGACCCTCCAGCTGCTGGTGGATTAGAACTGCCTGCCTTTGAGTTGCAGCCTAACTCCTTACCCACCGTTGATGGTCTCATCAAGTGGGTAACTCCTTAGCTGCCAAGCCACTGCTTCCAGGAGCTCTGGAAGATGTTTTACAAAACTCAAATTCACTGCTGTCAACTCACAGCTGGCCCTCTATTGGGTTCCTAAGGCAGTAAATGGCAAGACAGGATATTTCCCATCTTTCTCCAGTTAGTGGATTAAAACCACCAGAGAGGTGAGGCCTTGGGTTAGCAGCGCAACTGCCTACTGACTAGGCCACCAGGGCTCCATGTCTGAAGAGGTGGTGCCTGGAAATGGCAAGTGAGTGTGACGTACTGCACGCCATGCCATGCCATGCCATCCCATCGGAGTAGAAGGCTCATCCGGGGAGCTGGAAAGGAAAGGGTACGGGAGAAGGGGCTCAGGGTAGAATCAGGGGGTTGGGGATCACTGGAGGCAGAGGGGCGGGGAGAGAACAATACTCACCAGAGACCACCATGGCCTCATTTGGGCCACAGGTGAAAAACATGGTTCAGGGTGGAGCTGGAGGAGAGAAGAGAGAGCCACTGCAGCTGGGAAGCATGGGGGCTTCGTGTACGCTGGAATCAGTCTTTCTCTTCCCATCAACCTATGTCAGTCGACACCTACCAGGGCCCAGAGCTGTACCCATGAACCCGTTAAGGCTCGATGCAATACTACGGACCTCTAGCGAGCTGGCTATTTACGACCACTCCCTTCCCTCGCCGCAGCCCCGCTTCTGGCGCGGACGTTTGTCCTCATTTCCGGAGGTTCTTCTGAGCATAAGGACCCTCCAGCTCGCCTCGGCCCTTCTGAACCCCTCCGCAGCCCGACTCCGTCTACCCTCCCCACACCCCCACCTACCCGGACGCGCGCAGAGAGGCTCGCAGAGGCTTCGGGAAGGGCAAGAGTGCGCAGGACGCCCCGGGAACCTAGCAGGACCCGCTAGCGCTCCAGGTTCCTGGAAGCAGGAGTCCCAACCACGCCCGCACCCCTGCCCAGCCGCACCCCGTTTCAGCGGCCGCAACCAGCGATCCCGCCCCCGAGGTGGGCAACCTCCCCCGGCCCTGTCCAGGACCTCGCTCCGCCCCCTTCCCGGCAGGCCTCGCACAGGTCCGCGCCCGCCCGCCCAGGCCCGGGTAGGAGGAAGGCGGGGAGACTCCTCTGGAGGGCGGGGAGACTCCTCTGGAGCCCGGGGCGGAGCGCACCCCTTCCCCGCCCCCGCCTTCTCGAGTGGGGCTCCGCCCAAGGGCGCGCGACGTGCCTACAGAGAGGGCTTGGGCCCACGGGCTGCGGAGGTTGCTTCATCTCGGACTTGTCCCTGTGTACTCTAACTGGAAAACCACAGACTGGACCACGCCCGACGGCACCAGGCGACCTGAATGGCGAGGTCCGGGACTCCGGGGCCTGGCGCGCTGGGATTTGGCACCTGATGGCCAAGACGGGGTACGGAATCGCATTCACAGAAGCAAACGACGATTGAGAGCAAATCAAGTTTATTTGTGTTCATAGAACATACTGGGCGACTCCAACAACTGCACCCTGAGATTCTCCCGACCCGATCCCACGGCTACCCCACTGGGGCAACTTGGGGAAATCGAAGGCCACTGGCCTTATCCTTAACAGTCCACTGGAGCCTAACACAGTAGACCTTGTGTAGCTGAGATGTTGGAGGACAGAGAGCGACACTCTCTAAACCCACAGCCCACCACCATCCTAGATTCCTAGACTGGGCGCGTGTCCCTACTAATCCCTACCCACCCTCCATGCTGTCCTCGGCGCTCCACACCACCCATCCCCACAGAGTAAGTTCTGAGACATCTGTATTTCCAGCATACCTGTATAATTTAAAATAAATATCACATACACCCCTCCATTACCTAAGGGGACATATATAAATACACATAAATATTAATAAGGAGCAAATAATAAATTAACGTAGCTTTCCCCACCAGGCCTAGACGTCGGGGAGTCGGTGTCTCAGTCTCCCCAGGCACTAGATGGCTGCTTCACTGTAGTGTTGAGTTTGGAGTTGCCTCGAAAGTCCCACTGTGGGATATGGTCTCGCGCCCGAGTTACGCCTGGCGTGTCTTTTGGTTTGTCGAGTCACATTTTCGGTGTCAGAAGGCGGGTGGAAGGTGCTGGAGAAAAGCATTGTAGTCCAGTAAGTAATCCGACGACTCTGAGGTCTGATTCAGCGGCTCGGAAACTGGGAGAGACGAGGGCGACGCGTCACTTGGGGCGTGTTCTGAACACAGGGGGGGGACAGGCATCTCTTCTTCAAACATCAGGATCTGGCAGAAGATGACGGCGAGGAGCAAAAAGAGAAGCCTTTTGGCAGGGTTTGGTTCCTCGGGTGGCAGGTGGCGCAAGACCTGAAGGGAAGAAAAGATATGACACAGGTCAGCTCACACGCTTTTAAGTCTAGCCATTAGTTTACAGTGAGGATGGCGGGGCTGCCCACATCAGTGACACTCACCGTTCGAGGGTAGAGGACCCTGCGGCTTCGCTTGCGGTGCGTGTCCAAGGGCGTGGGGCGCGGGACTGGCGCCATCGCGGCCTCTGGGAGAGGGTCGAAGGTGAAGATCTCTGGACCCGACCCACCCCGGCGCTCCGGCCTAGTGGAGGGGACGCGCTTCAGGGCTTGCAGGACAGTCATTGTGGGAAGGGAGTTGAGAGTAACGCATGCTGCTCCAGAGGAGCAGAAGGCGGAGTGGACACAGCGGAGTGCAACCGAGGTAGTTAAGAGGTAGAGGGGCGGGTCCTTCTCAACTCCTCCTCCCGGGGCGGGGGAGCCCCAGGCCGGAGACGCCTGGAAATTCCAAAGATTAAACAGCTGCGGGGCGGGGCCTGTGCAACTCTCGGCGCCAGAGTGCGCTGTGTGTGAGCGTGTTGTGTGTTAGTTGTGAATGGGGCTGGGGGTAGCGAGAACATGTGTCGGGACACGTGACAGCTAGAAAGGGTCTCGCAGAGATGCTGGCGAAGCCTCAGGACCTGTCACAGGCAACACTGGGTAGGCAGAAGGGCTTCCTTAGGAAAGTCCAGCAGTTTTGCAACCCCATTAAATCGGTATAGTCAAAGAGTTACAGTTACACGTTCACACTAACACACTCTTGTAGGTACACACGGAAAGAAATATCTCGGGAGAGAACTCATTACAGAAACAACCCAGGAGACTACTAGAAATGAACACACTAGCATGCAAGAAGATACAAAACTGTGTGTGTATCCACACATGTACACAGTACACATGCTCGCCCTACGCATGCAATACTACACATCCTACACACAAAACATATATAAGCCACTCACTTCGCATACCCTAGTGAACATACACAGAGAGCAAAGGTTCAGAGCTTTGTTCACCAGCGACAGTCCAGCAAAATCATCACCCACGTACAGGTGTGCAGAAATATTCACATAAAGTGTAGAGGACCTGAAAATACAAAGAAAAAGAATCAGCAGCCACAAGGAACTGACCCTTGTTAAAAAGGTCAAGTAAAATTTATGTGAAGAAATTGGTTTTGGTTTTTTAAAATTTTCTTTTTTTTTTCCACCAGATGCTTTGCTGGAGAAGGAGGGGCAATCTCCTCCTGTACCAGTCAGATCCGATTTGATGGTACACACAAAAAATAAAATAAAAATTAAAACAACAAAAAACTGGGAAGCATTACTCAAATATATAAGAGGAGTAATTTAAGACAACTTAAAACTGAACGGACCTGTTCCTCACATAAGCTTTATAAATCCTTATCCCAACTTCCTTTTCTGCAAGTGGGATCGGAGTGTGTCTGTGTTCCAAGCAGCATCATGTGAAGATGTGGTGGGACTAAGCCACCCTGCCCATCAGGGTTGCCTTCCAAAGTAACTCAAGCTCCTTCCCTGATTTTTCAGCAGAGGTGGGCTGGAACAATTCTAAATTCTAAATTCGAACCTCTATGACTATGATAAGGGACACCCGATGGCCTAGTCCACAGGGATTGACGCTTCTTATTTGAATCTGGCACATCTCTGGTGGTTCACATCTCCTCATATGCAACTTAGAGCCTCCAAAACACCCCTGGAAGGTCAGCGATGAGGCAATTGAGAGTTGAGAGAAATACCTGTAATGACTTGGGAATGGATTATCATTTTAATGTTAATTAGACAAATTAATGTAGCTTGGGGTCAATCTCTTTTGAGGTATGAAAGAGAAAATAAGCAAGGGAGGAGAGATGGGCTAACGGCAGATACCAAGACACACACAGAAATCTTCGAGGAACCAGAAAGCAAACAGAAAATATAAGAGACCTTCCTGAAAAGCCCATACAGAGAGAGGAAACCTCCCCCTAGAGCCAGTGCCCTAAATTCTAGACATCTAGTCTAGAATTTCTGTTTGTTAAAGTCACCCATGTGTGGTATTTCTGCTATAGCAGCACTAGATAAACTAAGATACAGCTTAGCTGGTGTAGCCTGAGACACAGCTGCCCTGGACACATTGTAATGTCTTTTGAGCACTCACCTGTGCTAGGCATACATTAAAGGTATTGTGAGTCCTGAGCTTAGTCCTTCATATTGGGTGCTGTATGAAGCTAGAAGCTCCATAAAGTTGACACTTCAGCCTTGAGGCATTTTCCTTTTGGTGTGGAGAGAAGGCTATGACCAGGAGAAATCTCATGAGGGTCTTAGGAAAACTTTGGCCTGTTGAGAGGACTCAGAAGAGGGTTTGTACCCCGTCTCATGAGTCAAGGAATGCTACTTGGAAGAGTGGCATTTGAGATGACCTTGAGGAGTGAGTGAGTGGGATATGACAGATGCACATGTGGAGGATGACTGTGTGACACAAAGAGTGGAATCAGCAATGACCTTGAACTGGAAAAATACAGGATGTGTTTGGGGATTGCAAGAAAAACAACCTCAGAGTAAGTTTCCTGTAAAGGAGAAGTGGGAAAGGAAGACTGGAAGGGAGTTGGGCAAAGTGGGACGAGCAGAGCTGCCAGGCCAAGAGTCGGGGTCTGACCACAGATAGTGAAATTTGTGGGCCACAGGCTAGTGAAGGAGGACAGTTCAAGCTCTTTCACAGTACTTCACAGGTACTGAAGGGGCTGAGGAGAGTATTTTGGAAGTAGAGACGCTGAGGTAGGGGCCAAGAGGCTGTTGGAGAGGTACAGGTGAAAGGTCAGGTGGCAGGGGAGCTCTGGTGGCCTAGTGGCAAGAAACTGCACTGCAATCCCAGAGGAACATGGTTCGAATCCACCAGACGCTCTGCCGGAGAAGGAGGCGCAATATCCTCCTGTACCAGTCAGATCTGATTTGACGGTACACGTACACAAAATAATAAAAAAAAAAAATAAAAAAAAAAGAAAGGTCAGGTGGCTTAAACTGGGCCATGGCAGATGGAACTGAGAGTTAGAGAAAGCTATGAGTGACATTTCTAATATAAACTCCAAAATCAAACCAGCTGCTGCTGAGTCAATTCGATCCTTCATGTATGTCAGAGCAGAAGCGTGTCCCGTAGGCTTTCAATGGCTGTGACCTTGTGGAAGTAGATCTCCAGGCTTCTCTTCTAAGATATTTCTGGATGAATTAGAACTGCCTGTCTTTTAGTAAGTAGCTGAGTGTTTGATTGTGTGTGCCACTGACATTGGCAATGGGTTAATGGATGGTAGATATTCTTGAGGGCAGGTGCAAGGTGTAGGCAGGGCACAGGGTACTGAGAGCAAGAGGTAGAAGGAACCAAACAGGACTCCAGAGATTTGATATGCACCATGAGTCATGCCTGGTGCTCAGAGGCATGAGTGTAAGCTATCTTTTAGTTTAGCTTAAGTTTAAGCTTATCTTTTAGTTTAGAGATTATGCAGTGGGGTCTTTGCAGAGCTCAGCAAGGCATCTGATGTGGAGCCCTTGCTAAGTAATCTTGATAAATGAAAGGTGAACCTGCAAAACTAGAAATGTGTATATAGTATTCACACATACCTTGGTGACTCCAGGTTTCTGAGGCAGAAACTCTTCTCCAAACTACATATACATATTTACAACATCTTAAAGAAAGCAGTCTCCTCCTGTCTGATTTCAAGCCTTTGAGAACTTGCTGGAGGGCCAGCTATGAGTCAGTTCTGACTTGACAGCATATAGCAACATGACAAAGAAAGCTGAATGAGGGTGGGCAGCACTGGTGTGCCTGCTCTATTAAAAAATTGGTGCTTTGAGCATGCTCAGAGGTACAGCGCTGTGCAAGAAAGGCCTGACGATGTGCTTCTATAACATATGGGTCTGCAGTAGACTCAAAGGCAGAAGGCTAAGGAAAGTTGGAACTATAGCTATGTTGATGACAAATCAGAAACATGTCAGGGCATTTCTTCACCCAGGAATGTGTGGGTTGCAACAATTGGGCTGTAAATAGTTACATAAGCTGCTGTGTATACATTTGCTTCCTGGGACTATGAAGCATTTTAATTTAGGCCTACAACTCTTATCTAAACACAGGAGAGCCCTTCCTCATTACAGACTTCCTGACAGAAATAAAACACACACCTGTCTTTCATACCTACCATCATCCTTACAATCCTACCCAAAGCATTCCCAGTTACACCTTTATTCCAAGGCGGTTTGCCAGTATACAGTTGTCAGTATCAATGCATAGCTAATTAACTCCAACATAAATCACACCAAAGTAAATTGCATGAGGAGAGGTAGTGGTAAGGGAAGAAAAATTGCTTGATGGGAAAGAGCAGGAGGCACCTGAGGACAGAAATGCATAACTTGTTTATTATGGAAAATTTCTCCAGGGTATTAGGCAGGGGAGGGGAAAGGAAAATGAAGGAGGGATGCTGGGATCTTGTTTCAACACTACCTCCTGCATCTGGAATCTGGGTGTCCAGCTGGTCTTAGTTATCTTCACTGCCTTCTGGCAAGGAGAGACCTTTCTTTGTGGCCAGACCAGATGGGACCAAGGGAAGACTCTTGTTCTAGTTCGGAACCAACTTAAAACCCCATTGTGAAGAATGTACTCAAATTAGCTAAACCTAGATGTTGTTGTTAAGTATGTCAGAGGGTTTTGCCCCCACCCTATCTCTACCACACAGGAAGCAAGGGAAAGGTTTCTAGTGAATCATTAAGCTGGAGGCGATGAGGGGGTGAGGGCTAGAGGATGAGTTAAGGACAGAAAGTGCTATGGGCTGAGGTCTTGACTGAACTGGTTCTTGCTGCTCCAGTCCTCAAGAAACAGGCTCAAGTCCCCCATTCGTAGCTCCCTCCCGTCTCCCTCCTCATCTGCCCTAAAATCACTGTATTCCTTCATTTCTTTTAGTTTTCTACTAAGATTGACTTCTTCTCAGTCATTTTTTTTAATTCTTTTTTTTTTTTTTAATTCTCAGTCATTTTATGAGTTTGTTTACATTATTGTTGCTTGCGTCTCCCACTGGGATACAGTCTGCTTGAGTTTATAGGACCGTGCCTGCTCCAGTTTAATCGTAGCTCTGAAACAGAAAAACCAGAATCAGACTCATTGATGTTGAGATGGTTCCCATTCATGGCAATCCAGTGTATTACAGGGTAGAACTGGTCTGTAGGGTTTTCTTGGCTATAATACCACCCTCCTGCCAGATATCTTACTATATTTTAAGTGAATGAATTCACAACAAAACAAATTCTCATTTAATAATTTCTATCTAGGTTTCAGTTTCAATCACAGTGAAAAAGACATGGGAAAGAGATTGACCCAGTGACTGCAGCAATGGACTCAAGAGTATTGGAGACAATGATGGTGGCACAGGACAGGACAGGGTTCATGTCTGTTCCTGCATATTATACATACTTAACAACAACATCTAGGTTTAGCTAATTTGAGTACATTCTTCACATTTATCAATATTTGTTATTCCTGTTCTAGTTCTACTCCCATTAATTTAAGATTATTACCTCTCAAACTTTTTTTTAATCCCTTCTGTTCCTTAAGCTTTTCATCTGACTCTAGCCTTTTCATATATTTTAGGGTAATTGAAGTCCACCTGGTCCCATAGAGACAATTTTACCCTTTTTTTTAAAAAGAAAACATCATCTTTCTTTTAGTAACTTTGCTACTACCTAAGTACTTACGCTTGTAGTCGATTGCTAGGTTATGTATAGATAGTAAAAATCATCATTAGATTATCTTTTAACTCAACAGGAAAGATACACACATTTAAAGGTCTCAAGGATTGAAACTTTCAATCCTTCCCAAAAGGCAATTGAGATTCCTCCTCACTCCTTGATCTAAGCTCTTTTGAGTTGACATATCAGCATGAAAAACACGGAGTAATGAGCTTCTCAAAAGAATTTTTTTTCCCCAGAACATGCTGT